TCCGAGATTTGGTAGTGCCAGCTGATCATGTCTGCCAGCCTCTTACAGCCTCCTCAGCTCTGTGGTCAGTGTGGTGTGAGTGAGAGCTCTTTAATCTGCTTTGGGRCAGATCAGATGGGTTAACTCAGCCCACCTTCTTAAACTGCCATAAGCTGACCCRGCAGACAGGACCTGACACGGGCTGGGTTCACTGCTGTGCACATGCAGCTATTACAGACATCACTTTCAGCCAGGAGACGATAATGTCTCTGGAGGTACAGCTATTCCTGTTGCCCCCAACATGAGTACTTTTGCCTRAGATACACAGGACAGCCCTGTATCCATTTGTCTGTGTTTAGAGTGGTGTGCCTATGACATGTGAGGTGACTAGTTACGTTACGTAAAATACTCCATAACTTGATGGACGCTCTCTTCATTTATATGTGATTTATTTTGATTTGATGTAAATCCTTAACTCATCCACATAAGGTGAATGAAAGAATGACCTGTGAAAAGCCCAAATCCTGTAAAAAATTAATTTTCTTCTCAATTCCTAGAGAGGCAGCAGAAGATACAGGAACTAGCATTGCTATCCATTGTGTCATGTGTGGGACCAAGCCAGGCTGCCTTAGAGTTTGCACCATTAAATAAATTAGTACTAATGTGCATGAAAATGGTCCTCCCATTTGTAGGGCTTGAGCGGAATCATCATGGGGCATTTGGAAGCCACCCAGAGGTGCCCATKCAAGGAGTTTGCACTGCCTTGAGAAAAAAGTCTTCTATATTCTGTATTAAAGACTTCTCCATACTGCAGGCGTTAAAAGCAGAGGAAGCTCAGGCTCAGCAGCAAAGGAGGGATTCTGCAACAAACTGTGAAGCCTCAGGGTAAAACAGGCCTGATGATATGTATTTAAAATAAAGGCTAAAGCTTTTGATCAAGCATGAAGCTGTTTTGCTCACTCAGTGCCATTCTTYCCAGAAAGGCATGRTTTGGATTTGGCYGCAGTTCAGGTTACAGAGGAAGGGACAAGGTGTTCCTGGAGTGCAGGAYGCTGGAGGTCAGCTGTGCTGTGCTGCTCTGAACTGAGTGTATCCTGATAGCTTGCCATGGTTCACCTTCCTGTGTGCCTGAATACCTYAGGGTAGACTTTAGCCAGGGGTAAGTCAGCATTACCAAACCACTGGCAGGGAATGACTGCCAAGAGGAAGGATTGGTTAACCCAAGAGAATGTTTTTTCCCCTCCAAAATATTAATACTTGTTTACATTTTATTTCTTTCTCTTAGTAATCGAATGAAACATTCTCTCAAGCATCCAGTAGTCACTTGAGTGAAATTGCTGTTGACTGGAACTGAAGTGGTATTAACTTGAATGAAAACTGCAATCTTTGTCCTTCAGTTTCCTTTGAACTACAGCTGCACTTTCCTGTTGCATGTGCCCTTATTAACCCAGACTGCAAAGACTTCTTATTTTAGCTGCCAGATTAAGAGTGTGAACTCTTGAGCTGTGTGTAAACTGTCTTCCTGTACTTTTTTTTTTAAGTGATCAGAAGTGTAGGACATCTGAATTTGTTGAAAATACGTAAATAACAAGCAGTTTTACTCTATCTACCAGCAGAGTAGCATACCACCGACYACACTTATTCATTGTTAGTTATCTTCTATACTCTGTGCCAACAGTACTGCATACTCAAAAAATTAATAGTAAATATTTGTTTCAACAAACTTTATGAACAAGGAAGAGGGGGGAAGTACATTAATTGAGTACATTAATTCATAGTCTCTGATACATGTGAATACAAATAATTGCAAAACAAAATGTCCCAAAGTGCAAGTGAAAATTTTTTATCTGTAGAGGAGAGAGTCTGGGGGAGGTCATTGAAAAGGTCTGTGAGATCAGTTCCCAAAATGGGATTATGTTGTTCTGGCAGTCACCTCCTAATGCAGACAATGGAAGAGACAATGTCTGAAGAGTCCTCAGGTAACAATTGACTACAACAATTAACCTGAATTTTCTCATGACACTGCACCCTTATTTAAATACTTTGTTTCTTAAAAAAATGTGAGTGCAGGTAGTTGGGTGTTTTTTGTACATGTCTTTCTTGTGTTYGGAGTGTTGCAGTGAACAGTGCTAACTCTGTTGGATGTGTTGCAGTGACGTAGTAGACTTGGTGGCTTCTGGATATAAAAATACTGTGTTTGTGAGAGAGTGGGTGGAGCCAATTCTGCATTTGATGTGCTTTAATCATTTARAGAACCCATTGTCCATCAGAGGTAAAAAGATAAGCAATTTAGCCCTGCTACTACTATGACTAACACCTTGGTATTCTGTTATCAGCACAGGGAGATGTATCTCCAGCCTTCTGCAGTTTGAGACAKCTGTAACTGGGGGGAAGGAAATCTTTAAAAGTGTTCCTAAAAAATAGGTTTCCAACAAGGAGTGTCCAAAGCAAGGAATTCTAGCTGCTTTGAGGTGCATGAAATGTCTCTGTCATAAACCTGACCTTTTCAGTGTAAGATTAGCTGTTTGATTTGTATKTCATGGTAGGTTTCTCCAAAAGAGGTAGAGAAACCAGTTTGATCTGTTTTGTTGCTTCTGTTTTCTTGGCTCTGGTGCCATGGAGTGGTTGTGAGGATTGCAGTGTGGTAGACATGCACAGATGAAGAAACACCAAACCCACAGCTACTGTTTTTCATGAACAACAATGCCAAATTAAATGCATTTGCAGTATTTTTTTAATTAATACAATTTAACTTTGTTTAGCTGTATTCCGAAATACTGAAGTTTTAACCACACACTGATAAAGGGTTTTAGTTTTCACTTCGCAGTAGGTGATTCTGAGATTCTGTGGATAATTGTTATTTAAATACTGTGTGAAGGGTCCTAGAAGCATTCAGGTCCTGTAAAGCAGAAAGGCTGGCAACACATACTTCACTTCATAGACTGAAACCTTGGAAATGGCTCTGTCTGTGGGGAATGGTACTATAAATAATTTCAGTGAATCTCTTAAGAGGTCAGTATGTATRGGCAGATTGGAAATATGGGAGTTTGACTTACCTTTTCTTTTTTAACTGCCTTCTGGAGGTGTTGCTGCATGCAGGATCTTATTGAAACCTGCACTTTGCTTGTCACTTCTTTTGGTGTTGCAGGCAAGAGTACTGTAATCAAAACCTTTGATCTGTGCCTTTGTGGGCATACAGTAATGAAGGAGATTAAGTCAAACTCATGCAGTTAAATTCTGCCAGGCCATGCCCTGCCTACCACAAAGGGACTGAAAAAGGAAGGGARTCACATGTTAACAGCATTCTTGCCTTCCTGAAACATTTCAGAAACCTATCTTTTTTTGCTGCTTGGCTGCCTATAACTTCATTTACCAAAAACACCTTGTGGAACCTRACTGACAGTCCAGAAAGCAGAACAKAATTTTGAATCCASTTTTCCTATGACTGCTGTCGCATTTTTAGGGATGCTTTCATCATTTGAGTTTTCTTCTAAGTATTGCTGGTGTTAATATCACCGTTCCTACAGAACTGGTTTCTGAAGTCTCAGTTGCAGCACTCAGCATTTTCTGCRGTACAGACATGAAAGTCTTTGTGCAGGAGGTTTTTGCCTGTTACCTGCCATAAGAGTTATTTCACATATATTTCAATCAGGTGGAAAAATTGAGAAAAAAAAAAAAGATGATATGTGGGATTTTTGTTTTAGACAAAGACTATGCTCTTAGTATGTAGGGTATTCAGGGTTTTTTGCCAGCCTCTAAGTTTAAGCAGTAGTCTTGCTGGGAATGCAACAACATTTAAACTATTTGATTAGCAATTTTGTCTRTATACCTAGAGCATGAGTTTTGATCTGTCTGCATTTCCAACATCTCAATTGCCAAGTACTTGAAATGCTATAGCTGAGGCATCTAGAAAATGTCATCACCACTTGTCGATTTATGAGAGGCTTGTCATAGGCTTAGCACCTCTAAGAAGCTACAGGTTAGTCTGGACAAGGAGGGAAAAATTGTTACACTGTGTGGTGTTTCAGATCAAYGAGGGGATCATGAYACTCACATTCATCAATCAATTAACYGTACAAGTCCCATTTTTATCAAACTTCTACTTTGGGATGATCAGTTTGCAAGTCATCACATCCCACTTAYTCTGAAGTGTCACATGCCATGTGTTTGAGTGAAAACCTGTTTTGTCAGTGCAAAATAAATCCATGGTKGCATGTGCACAGATGGATGAGGATGGGATTATTCAAGGTCAGGTTATCCTGTCTGTGCTAACGCAGTAGGAGATTAATGAAGAAAGGATTTAGCTGTTAAAAATGACCAACTACACTTCTTCCATGWGAACAGACACTGTACTGCAGTTAGAAGCTCAGCTACTGCCWAGCAGGATGCTCCCCAGCTAACTTKAASCAGTCCCTATCAACTGAACACATTGATGTGGGTGAGTGGGCACCAGCTGCTCACCTGCAGCCCTTGGTGGGCTYAAACAGCCTGGGCTGAGATCTCTGTTCTTCATTTCTGTCGTGCTGCTGCTCCTTCAGTCCGTAGTACAGTTCATGCCTCTCACTGCAGTGCAGACACAGGCTCAGCAGCCAGAGACAAGTCAGCTGGCTCAGTCAGAGTTACAGGAAGGCAGTGTGGCTTGGGGGATCAGTTCCAACCTTCCCTCTCATAATGTTCCCCTGCCAGAGATGTGAAATACCTCTATCTTGACCTGAGCATCTGGTTGATGGGATGTGTTGCTCATATGGTTTATTTGCAAAAGGACGGGATTTATTTCTTGTTGTGCCATGGCACAAAAGGAAGTGCTGTGTGAAATTACTGTTCGCTTTCATACTTAATAAGGAGTGAATTCTTTTTTAGTTTGTATTTTAATGCAAATTAACTGATACTTTTGGGGAAGAATCCAGATCAGTCTGTTGAAACCTGGTGTTGACTGTTCTTTATATAACACAATGGAGAAAATAGTTMATTACTTTGGCTTTCTCTGTTTATTCTAAATCCCCCTGGGTGTCTCTTGACAGGCCCAGAGTCCTTGGCTTCCCCACTATGGAGGAGTTGATGTTCATTTTACTGGCATGGCTGACTGCTTCCGGCAAACTGTGAAGAACAAAGGTGTGCTTGGACTTTGGAGAGGWCTCACACCCAGTCTGCTTAAGGTGAGGTTTTGCTTTCATCCCAGTCAAATGCTATCCTGAAGGAATCAAGACAGTTTTGAACAATTGGGGATAGACAGCTTATTACATAGGTTTGTACTTAATAGCTTATAGATGACAGAAACAGTGACAAAACAGGTTATAAACCAGCCTTGGAACTTGATTTGGTGATRTTTCCCCAAATGAAAGCTTGGCTTTTTGATGCCACCACTTTAATTTGAATGTCTTTAAAGAAGGGAATGCTGTTAACATATGAAGTGTGGAATGGTTTGGGTATTGCAAGTGATCCATTTAAGACAGCTAAACAAGTTCTCCTTCAGAGCTGAGCTCCAGTAATTTGACATGTTGAATTGAGCTGTAAAGTGCTTGTACAAGCCACTTGCCCAGAAGGCCAAAGCCATGCTTTCAGCCAGCTATATAATGCAGGTGTATCAATTACTGCAGCCCTTGCTGAGTTGAAAGCATGAAATAAAATGTGGTAGCTTAAACAGAAGGTAATTTAATTTACATAAATACGTTTTATAGTGCTGTGATGAGGATTACCTACATAGAGTACTACAGGTCATCTAATGAGTGGTAATTGAGTGGCAGTGTGATTGATTGTGATGACCTGCCTGTGACTCCCTTACCTTGGCTGATACAAAGCCAGTGGCCCCGGAGCTGCTGGTTCTGCATGGGGCAAAAGATGAAAATTCTTCAGTCACTCCAGCATATGTAGAATAAATTCCACATTTCCTACCGGCATTTGTTGAGATTGTTTAGGATGTGCTTAGGTATTTGACAAGTTGTGATAATCTATAGGCTAGCATAGACCTTCTTCCTCACAATTAATTATAATTAGTTATGCAACAACAATAAACTCCTACTTTCAGCATGTTGCAACTGCCAGCCTAGTTTGAGAGGAGACTCTGATTTTATATAAATGAGGACAGGTCTATTAGCAGATCAGATCTGAAGTCCTAGAAGTTTCCTTTTTTTTTAACATTTAAGCTGAGAATGCTACTAGTGAGTCTAATTTCTTTTGTCTTATATTGCTTTATTATCAGATTGTGCCATACTTTGGTGTTATGTTTACCACCTTTGAATTCTGCAAGCGGGTCTGTCTGTACAGAAATGGTTATATTGAATCTCCTTTAAATTACAAGCTAACGCCTGGCGTGGACCAGAGTTTACAACCACAAGAACTGAGAGAGTTCCTCCGAAGGGAGAATTTTGAGCCAAGGAAGTCAACTCTTGAAAACTGACACCAGTGTCCACTGCAGATATACAAATGCCTTTCTTAAGGAACTTTGCAAGAAAGACATGCTGCCCTACAGGTACTGGCATTTCAGTGGATTGTGTGATTCTGGTACTGAGACGCCTGTGAAAGGAAAGAATGAATCTGTATTGCATTTGCTGAATGGATATAAAGAATATGACCAGCAAGCACATACTGAAGAGGATGCAACTAGTTTGAAAACTCTAAACTACTGGAACTTGAATAGCCATTTGAGATTAAACCAACTGCAGCAAGGCAAGAGAACGGAGATGGGAATGTAAATTGTGTCTTCGAAGACGTTAAGAAAATGGATTTTTAAAAAGCAATCTGAGATACCAAGTCAGCCAAAAATAATAAAACAGAATAAATTAAATGCAACATGCAAGAATTCTACTGAAATCTACAAGTTTTTTAATGATACTGTGTGGATATGGCATTCTATAGGGTCAGAATTAGTCTTAGTTCAGTTACACTCCCAAATCCACTGCTCAGTTTTTGAGACGTACTTGAGAATAATAATTTTGTGTGAATCTCCAGCATAAATATAAAAGTATGCTGCTGCAACTGTGGTTTTGCTAAGACAGAACTGTAATGTGCAAAATGGACTGTAATACACTGGAATGACAATCTTGCAAACTTAAGTGCATACCTGGAAATATTCCTCCCTTTCTCKTACATTGTTACTGCATGTATGTGAATGATTTCACACTTTGAAAAACAATTTTCCTGAAGTTCTTTAACTGAAATACTTCCTGGAAAATGGCAGTTCTTAAATGTGTTAGWTATTTCAGAGCCACAAACTTTGTCATGTTTTGGTACTCTTAAAGCTCTATTTTTTTATTAGACCACATTCARTTCCAGTGCACAGACCTAAGCCTACTGTGCTGCTCTGAACTTGCCAGCAGAACAGCCCCATGCACACTACCTGTGATTGATCCACTTGAGCTGCTGTGCTCCAGGGGCTGCAGACAGGTCCTGTAGGTAGGAACCTCTCTGCAAGAGCACCASGTTACTGCCATTGCCACTGCAACTGATGGGCCTCTTGGGAGCTTTTAGACAATAAAAGATCATCTTTGTTATACCTGAGGAGCCATGGTGTTGTTCTAGTTCCTTTATAGAAGCTCAACCATGGAACAGCCCCATCCCAGTGCCTTCTGATAGAAACCCCAAAGCCCATGCCCAAGGGGGAAGGTGGCTGTGCCCCTGGCAGCATGGGAATCACAACAGCTCAAGAAGATGTGTGCACRCCAGCTCCAGCCTGAGCTGCAGCTGCCTGGGCTCAGCACAGTGTTTGCTGCTACTTTACACAGCTCCTTGTCTGCGTTTTTGCACTGTTTATAACCCCTGATGGGTGAAAATAAGTAAATCTAAGAAACTGCTTGGTTAGAACACGTCACAGCAGGATTAGGCATTGGCAAATCCATGCAGGAGCAGTATGTTAATGTGGAGAGAAATTTGCAGAAAGATTTGGGATAACTGTAAGGCCTACCTTGCGCCTAGAATTCGTTGATTTATCTTGAAGCTGAAATCTTGCAGTATCCTTCTCAGTGGACTCACTCAGTTCTGCTGCAGTGGTGCTTCATACTGATTTTTTTCTCAGAGAAGAAATGCAAGCAATGATAGCAAAAAACTTTAAATGGTAGAGAGTAGATCTGGTGGCTCATGCATCATTGAGACTGTAAGTGCTTTTGGTTGTAATCAAACTGCCTAGTGAAAGTGTTTCTCTTTGTCTCTGTTTTCCCTTGGGCACAGTGCAGGTAATAATACTGAGATTTACTGGACATGTATGGGTATGGAGGTATGAATTGTAAGCATGTTKGGGAGGAATGGATTTCTTGCCTTGTCCAAGCATACCTGTATGTTTTTTACTAACACTCTATTTCTAAATAGATTTTAAAGATTGAACGGGTGCATATGAATGTCTGATCAGCTCTTCAAACCTCGTAAGAGTCAAGTGAGTCAAAAAGTTAACTTGTTTCTGATATGCTAATACCACCTTTGTATTGTAGTGCATTCCTACTACCTATAAAGCACTAACCTTTTATCAGCCAAGTCTGTCTTTTGTAATCACAAATACACGTGACAAATGGCCCAAAAGGTAGCACTAAAATATTTGAGATGTCACTGAAAGAAAACATTTCATCAGTGGATCACTAACATGTTAAATGGTGTATGACCATGATGAACCAGTCAATAGCAAGGCTAAACTCTTGGGTAGCTGAAGTTCTACTCGCGTGACATTTGGATGCAGCTGTGTGATAGAGGTGGTGGGTGGTACCTGCTGGGCTGTGTGCCTGTCTGAGCATCTCAGCTGAGCTCAGCACTGTGACTGACAGAAGGAATCCATACACTGCTTAGAGCTCGGTCACTGCTGAAGCACTGTGTGTGCAGGGTGACAGTATACTGAGCGGTCTCTGARCGAGGGTCTCGCCTACGGATGAGAGAGATTAAGACCTGTAGTGTCCATAGATGAGGCAGAGCCCGCTCCGTTCCTGCCTACGCCRAGGCTGTGCCCGGCTGCTCTTGCCATGGCATTGGCAGAGCGCAGAGGGGCCGGAGGGTCGCGGTCACGGACGCTTACCGCTACGTGCTGAGCCCGCGGTGGGGACAGGCCATGTGATAGGGCCGGGGCCGCATATATAGGAGCTATCCCGCCCGCGGTGCTGGTGGGATGCTCCATCCCACGGTGCCAGTCCCGGGATCTCTCATCCCGGCGTGCTCCATCCCGGCTCTCCCCGCCGTGCTAYCCCATCCCATCTCCGCGGCCATGTGCCCCCCACCGCCTCCAACGGCGGCCCCGTCCCCCTGCCGTGGCCACGCCCCCTGCCGCAGCCAATGGGCGAGCGGGGCGCGCGCCCCGCCCATGCGCGCGCCCCCCGCCCCTATATTAACGGCCATTGCGGCGCCCCCCTCAGCGCCGCCTCCCGCCTCCTTCGCCCGGCATCGCCTCCAGCTCGCGCCGCTCCCGCCATGACCGATGCGGCCGTGTCCTTCGCCAAGGATTTCCTTGCCGGCGGGGTGGCGGCCGCCATCTCCAAGACCGCCGTCGCACCTATCGAGAGGGTCAAGCTGCTGCTGCAGGTGAGCTGCGTGGGCCGGGGCCGTGCCAAGGTCGCCGCAAGGAGGGGGGGGGCGGTGGCGGTGGGCCCGGGACTCGCGGGTGAGCGGCGCTGACGGCGACATCTCGGCCCCTGCAGGTGCAGCACGCCAGCAAGCAGATCTCCGCCGACAAGCGCTACAAGGGCATTATCGACTGCGTGGTGCGCATCCCACGGGAGCAGGGCGTCCTCTCCTTCTGGCGCGGCAACCTCGCCAATGTGATCCGGTACTTCCCCACCCAGGCCCTCAACTTCGCCTTCAAGGATAAATACAAGCAGATCTTCCTGGGCGGCGTGGACAAGCGAACCCAATTCTGGCGGTACTTTGCCGGTAACCTGGCATCCGGGGGTGCCGCCGGCGCGACCTCCCTCTGCTTCGTCTACCCCCTTGACTTCGCCCGAACCCGCCTGGCAGCGGATGTGGGTAAAGCCGGGACCGACCGGGAGTTCAAGGGCCTCGGCGACTGCCTGATCAAGATCTTCCGCTCAGATGGCATTAGGGGCCTGTACCAGGGCTTCAGCGTCTCTGTCCAGGGCATCATCATCTACAGAGCTGCCTACTTCGGCATCTACGACACAGCGAAGGGTAGGTTGACCAAAACAGCACTAAAATGGAGATGCAGGGCTGCAGCCGGCCTGTAATGCATTTCGATAGTGCTGGTGGCTCACCTGCCATTCTCACCAAAGCCTCTCTTCTGCAGGCATGCTTCCAGACCCAAAGAACACCCACATTGTTGTCAGCTGGATGATTGCTCAGACCGTCACCGCTGTTGCTGGTTTGGTCTCTTACCCTTTTGATACGGTTCGTCGTCGTATGATGATGCAGTCTGGCCGTAAAGGAGGTGAGTTTCTACCTCATTGTATAAGAATTATTAGGCACCCCTGAATCAATAGCTGGAGCTGGAGTGGAGCTGAAGTGAGGGCAGAGTGGCTTGGGTTTCGTCAGCCTGTGTAGATATCCTCATCTCTTGTAAGCCGGGGTGTAGGACAGGCTGCAGAAGCAGGTGACAGGCAGGGGCACGAATGGGCTGGCCTGCGCAGTGCACCTGTAAGGTGACATGCACAATTCAGGTATCTGTCAGTRGGTAGAAACAGCAGAACTCACCCAAGGATGTTGCAAGCCAGTGTCTCTGGGACAAGAACAGGCAGCCTACTTAGTAGGTACAGCCTGGCCGACTATGCAATAGCTTTTGGGTTTGGAAGTGTTGGTGTCAAAGCAAGGAGCTGCTGCCTTCTGCTTGAACTGGTCCTTCCAGAGTCTCCCAGGGACAATGCAGCAGCAGCAGCAATGTCTCTCCTAGGCAGTCTTGTCGTCCTATGTGCTAGTATTAGAGAAAATCAGCCAAGAAGTGGGATGTACTTGAGGTTATAAAGCTGGCAGATACATCAGGCCATTTCTGACCTGGGTGTTGGGGGTTGTGGGCATCCAGTTCCTAAAGCTGTCTGTCTCCTGCAGCTGACATAATGTACACCGGCACTCTTGACTGCTGGCGGAAGATTGCCCGGGACGAGGGCTCCAAGGCCTTTTTCAAAGGTGCATGGTCGAATGTACTCCGAGGAATGGGTGGTGCTTTTGTCTTAGTCCTGTATGATGAAATCAAGAAGTACACATAAGTTGTTTCCTGTTGTGAACTGGCATGTTGTTCTGTGTAGTCTATGGCTGTTCATGGACTTGTTTGAAAACCATCTAGTTACTAAACAGTGACGGCTGATGTTTATACAGGTTGGCATGGGGCAGGGGTGACTGCCTGCCCTGTCTTTATCAAGTTATTCCCCATGGTGGGACTCAYGATGGTTTCTATTTCAGTCACTCCTGCTTAAAGACTACAGAGAAATAAAAATCCAAAACCAATCTTCCTCATCGCATGTTTGTTCTTGCAGCAGTTGAAG